CTCGTCGAAAACGAACGCCTCGCGCAGGTATTGTGGGTCGATCGGCTCGCCACGCCGAAGGATCCTGACACGATGAGCTGAGAGGTCCGCCACCTGCACGGCCAGCGTCGGCGAGCAGACGATCCATCTCCCTTGGCCCCCAGGGATGAGCATGATGCGGGCGTGCCAGTTCAGCCTGGTCTCGTCCCCGAAGAAATCAGTGAGTACTTGCTTCTCTGGAATGCCCAGAGCCCTATGCTGCGCCATTCCTCAACCGAAGAATGGTCGGAGTCGTAACGAGGGGCCCTAACGCCCTCGAGTCTTGAAGAGGCTCAGCTTCAGCAAGAACGCTCGGTCGACGATCGCGTCGCGACACCGGTCGCCCCAGACAACACCCGCCCGCGCCGCAGCCCAGCGCCAGGAGGCAGAGGGCGAGGATGAGGAGCCACGGGTAGCCGCAGTCCTCCGACGGGCGCTCCGCGCAGGCCTCCTGCGCCGGGCACGTCGCTCGCACCTGCCCCCGAGCAGACGCCACGAGCTCGCCCACCAACTGGTAGCAGGCGCTGGAGTCCGGGCGGACGAGGCCCGGGCAGCTGGGGCACTGCTGCTCGGGGCAGCTGAGCGAGACGTCCGGGCACCGCTCCCCGAGCCCCGTGAGATCCCAGGCCACGGCCCAAAACAGGTGGACGGCGGCCGCGGGATCCCCTCCCATGCGATTGTCGCCGACAGGGGACCCCACATCACTGTGAACCAATACGATTAAGGAGACGGACGGGAGAGAGAAAAAAGCAAGCTAGGGGACAGCAGGTGAAATGACAGGATCCTGTGTTTTCAGCTTGCCAACGCCCGCTGCCACAAAATGTTGTTACAATCTCTCCTGTGGAGGCGACACTCGGCGCCGCCTCGGGTCAGTGCTGTATTCCGAATATACAAACATGAGACTGATGAATGAATATGTATATATAAACACATACATACATACATACATACATACATACATACATACATACATACATACATACATACATACGCACCACACACAACAAACAACACACAACACACAACACACAACACACACCACACACACCCATTCACACTTTTCGGTCGTAGCGGCGCGGCGACTCGCGAGCGCGTGGGGCGCCCCACGCGGAACGCGCAGTGTCGGAGGGGAACATACAGGGAAGACGGACGGCTCTTCACGGGGCAGTGGCCGGGGGCTGCGGCCGAAAGCGGGCAGCGGCCGCGTGGGCGGCGGGGCAACGGGCGAACGGGGGCCGCAGGCGGCGGAACAGGGGTGGGCAGCAACACGCACATAAACACACACACACACACACGCGCACATACAAACTGACACACACACACACACAAACACACGTTTACACACTTACACGTTCCTACGCACCGTTACGCACACTTACACACATCTGCATACACTGACGCACTCCCATACTCACGCCACTTACGCACACATGCACAGTTTCACACTTATACACATACACACCCACACACAACACTCCACACACGCAACACGCAACAAGCAATACGCAACACGCGACACACAAAACACAACACACAACACACACACACGCACACTATTTGGGCGGTCGCGGCCTCGTGCACAGCGTCGAAGCAACACACGTACACACATAGAAACACTTACGCACACATTGGGAAACCAAGCGTCCTCAAAATTGTCGACATCAAATCGACCAGGGGGACCTGCCGCGTCGGACGCCATGTGGGTGGCTCCTGCTGTTTCTCTCCCCCCCCCTCCCTCCCGTACCCTCACTCGATTCCCTTCGGTTTCCTCCCACCCCCTGCCCCCTCCCACCCCTCCCCCCTATCGTGCTTTTTCGCTCTCAGGACAAGGAAGGAAGAACACGAACGGGAATGTGTTGGGGAGGCGGTGGTGGACGGCGGGGGGATGTGGATTGTACGGGGATAGCTGTATGGATACAGAGAGACGCGAGGTACAATTAGGGGGACCCGCGCAAAAAGAGAACGCGTTCTCTTTCCTTTTACGGAGGCGTGTGCGCGTCCGTCCCTGGCGCGCCATGATAGCTCAAGGGCCTTTGAGAGCCGATACGGCGGCGCGCAAGGGAGTACAGAGGGAACCGCAGGAGGAGAAGAGGCTGACTGGGGCCTGACAGCCACAATTCCTACCTTTCTTGCAGCCGGAACGCCGCCTCGCCTCAGGACATGAAGCTCCTCTCACGATGAATACCGTAGCCATTCCACATACTACCAGAGCCTCACTGACGCACAGCTGGTACAGGTCCACGAACACGTACGATTTGATAACCTACCTCTCTAGGAAAGATCCTTGAAGGGATTGTCCGACCCGGTGTCCATAATGAGGTCTTCCGACTTCGCTGCGTCCGTAGCCTGCCCCATCTGATCCAAGAAACTCGGTGGACCGACTCCGAGTTGGTCGTATTGTTGACCAGCGCGGTCCAGGAAACGACCTGCCGCGCTGAACTCCTAGGTCCACAGAGAAACTCATCCTTCGTCCTTTAGGAACCAACTTGGCCTCGAGAGTCGGAAAATCGGAATCCTCGATCGCCTCGTCTGAGTACGCGCGGACACTCGGAAACGTTGTTGGGATGGCCTTTTGCCGCGAGGTACATCCTAACCGTGCGATTCCAGACCCTGGGTCACCCAAACACTTGCTCCCTCGTCTGTAGCTTGTCGCAGATCTCCCCCATCGTCGTAGTGTGAATCCAGAGCGCGTTGACATAGACGCTGCCTTCGGTCTGGCACCGCTGCCTGTGGACACGCATCTTGGGATAGCCTGCGCGACGGTTGCGATCTACCTGCAGCTCGACAGTGCAAGACTGCAAGTTCATCTCAGGGCTGACGTCCAGCCGACGCGGCGAAGTGCCCTTTCGCAGAAGATGCCGTAGACGCTTTCGAAATTCGAAGGTCTTGGCTTCAACTCGAACAGGCCCTTCTTGCTCCAGATAGATACCGGTGCTGCCAAGTTGGCACCGTGGTAGACAGTCTCGATACGGGCCTCCTTCTTGTTGTGCTTCTCGTCATTTTGCATATCCCTAGCGCATATCGGTGCCACATCCATCATCCACCACTTTCCGGTTGGATGCGCAATTGGCCCCCCGACGTGAGGACCATCGATGAGCCCTGAGAGGTGCTCACGAATTATCCCAGTGCGACCCTACATAGGAGTTGGAGCCCCTAGGAAAGCAGCATTAGTACGAACAGTAAAGCTAAAACTAAGCTAAAACTAAGCTAAAACTAAACTAAAGCTAAGCTAAATCTAAAGCTAAGCTAAAGCTAAGCTAAGCTAAGCTCAAGGTAAGCTAAAGCTAAGATGAAGCTAAGCTAAAGCTAAGCTAAAGCTAAGCTAGAGCTAAGCTAAGGCTAAGCTAAGGCTAAGCTACCGCTAAGCTAAACCTAAGCTAAAGCTAAGGTGCAGATAAGCTAAAGCTAAGCTAAAGCTAAGCTAGAAGCTACGGTAGAGGCTAAGCTAAAGCTAAGCTACAGCTAAGCTAAAGCTAAGCTAAAGCTAAAATAAAGCTAAGCTAAAGCTACGGTAACGGCTAAGCTACAGCTAAGCTAAAACTAAGCTAAAGCTAAGCTAAAGCTAAGGTGCAGCTCAGCTAAAGCCAAGCTAAAGCTAAGCTGAAGCTAAGCGAAAGCTAAGGTACAGCTAAGGTACAGCTAAGCTAAAGCTAAGCTGAAGCTAAGCTGAAGCTAAGCTGAAGCTAAGCTGAAGCTAAGCTGGAGCTAAGCTAAAGCTAAGCTAAAGCTAAAGCTAAAGCTAAAGCTAAAAGCTAAATCGAAAGCTTAACTAAAGGTAAGCTAACGCTAAGGCGCCGCTAAGCGCAAGCCAAGTTAAAGCTAAGCTAAAGCTAAACTAAAGCTAAGCTGAAGCTAAGCTGAAGCTAAGCTAAAGTTAAGCTAAAGCTAAGCTGAAGCTAAGCTGAAGCTAAGCTAAAGCTAAGCTGAAGCTAAAGCTAAAGCTAAAGCTCTCAGGGAGCTGGGGGAACCGCGGGGCGGGGACTGGGGGAACCGCCCAGGGCGGTTAGCACTGCCCGGCCCTTTAAGCTAAGAGAGTAAGAACCCTTCTAGGCAGAGCCTATGTAGGGAATAAAGCGGTTTCCTTTGGGAACTACGGTTTCCAACATTGAGCTCCCAGAACCAACGCAGCCAAAACAATCATAGTGAGGGTGTCGAGCAGTTGGTCCCTCGTCACGTCGACCTTATGACGCGTCTTCCAGTGGCCACTCATCATCTGGCAGAGGACAGACTTGTTATTTCTTGACAGCTTGTGGGCCTTCCTCCAGCGGGCACAGATGTACTCTTCTTCTGGTCCAAAAAGTATATCACCCTTCTCTGCTGGAGTCCTTCCAGTCCTGGAGCAGCGTTTTAGTGATCAGTAGTCACCACAGCCTTGATGGCCTCGGAAATGGTCCCGCCCATTGGTGGAGGGTTCTCGACGAATCCTCTGAGAACCCCCACAGCAGCGTTCAACTTGCCGAGGTTCTCCAGCTTGCGTGCCATCTTTTCTCCCCCGACGGTCTCGCCGAGGATCTTGATCTGGTCCAGGATGACCTCGATGGCCTTCTTACCTTCTTTCACCCACAGATTACTCCTACACTTCCGTGATCTAAACAAATCTCGCGTGGGCGTCATTTCTGAATGGGCTGGCAAGGATACGCGAACTGTCAATAACTTCGACGCCTGCATCTCAGGGTCGAACCCCTGGGGTGATCCTCGACTCCTCGACCCTCCTCGATGAACCGCGAACACTCCTCGATCTCTCCTAGATCCCCTCCTCGACGTTTCCTCGACTACACCCCGTGAGCGGGATCAGTCAGCAGCGGACCGCGACATCACATCGAATCGGAACGTGCGTCAGATCGGGCTGCATCGGCCAGGAGTCGGAGTCGAATCGGATCGGCTGCGCCCTGGATGCAAAACAACGACATGGCGAGCATCGAGCCGCATCGGACCGTCCCAACATCGAACTCGAATCGGATCGAACTGACCAAAAACGACATGAACGACGAGAAACAACCGGTCTTACGCACGATGACATGGCGACCGTACGCGGTGGCGCGCCCGGGCCGCCAGCACGGCACGCTACACTGGCAACGAGGGTGCCGACGCGCCACCTCAGGCAGGCACCCTACGCGCGCATGTGTCCGCGCAATCGAACCCGTCCTCTCTGCGTCGCTCACATCGGACATCTGACCGATCGGATCGAAGTGGACCCTGTCGGGGCCGAGCCCCCGACGTCCGTGGCCGGAGGCCGGCGGCGGCCAGGGCTGGCCGTGAATCCCCCGCGGCGGGCCTGGCGGGCGGCGCGCAGGCGCTCCGCCGGCGAGTGCGCGCGGAGCACGGCTGGGCGCATCTCGGGCGCCACCCTGGGGCCCCCCCCAACGGGGCGCATCTTTGGAGGCGGGATGAGGGTGGCAGTAGGTGTTGGCGATGGTGGGGATGGTGCTGGTGGCGGTGGTGATATGGCGGTGAGGATGGTGGCGATGGCGATGGTGGAGGTGATGGGCATAGTGATGGGGACAATTGTAATGATGATAGTGAGGACGATGCGATGGTGATGATGGTGACTGTGGCGATGGTCGAGATGGTGATAGCGGTGGTGATGCTGATGCTGAGGTTCATGCTGATGTTGATGTCGATCATGATGTTGATGATGATGACGGTGGTGGTGGTGATGATGAGGACGGCGAGGATGATGATGATGATGATGATGATGATGATGATGATGATGATGATGATGATGATGATGATGCTGATGCTGATACAGCTGCGGCTGCTGCTGCTGATGCTGCTGCTGATCATGATGACGATGACCACGGATCAGCAGGGGAACATGATGGCGATGATGACAGGGATGATAGTGATCGGGGCCGAATTCGGATCGAGCGCCGCGCGCGTCGAAGGAGCGAACCGAGCGAAGAGGCGGCCCGACGACCCAGACGGGCATCGTGGCCAGGGCGTCCTCTTCGCGCCTCAGCGGAGGCGACATCACGCACAGCACTCGAGTGCTAGCGAGTATCTACTTGCCAGGCCAGAGCCCGATCGTCCACGGCAAGGACACGATATGCAGGAGCCGAAGCATCAGGATCGGCGGCGTGGAAACTTCGCAGGAGTCTCTGCAAATGCTGGCGCCCGCTCGGCTGGCGCCACAGGGGTCAGCCAGATTTCGAGGCAGCAAAGAGACTCCCTCGTACTGCGCCTCGGATGCGACATCCACGCGCCGTGCACGCGACGAGCTCGCCTGATGCCCACGGCACGCCTCGGGCGACACGGGGCCAGACTCGGGGAAGGGCGCAGCTGGTGGATTCGCCGAGCTCGACCCCGGCTGCCCCCTCCAGGCCCCCTGAGGCCTGGGCGCCGCATTCCCTGATTGGCCGCAAGCCTCGCCAGTGGGCGGCCAGGCGCAAGAGCACTCAGGAATGCGCCAACCGCAGGCGGTGGAAACCAAGCCGAAACCCGCGCAGGGGCCTCCAGCCTAGAGCTCCGAGACGCGATCCAAGTGATCCCGAGGGCGCAGGGACCCGATGTGGCACAGCACGGATCGGAGGAGCGGCAGCAGGGCGGCTCCACATCTACGCGCGACTCGTCACATATCTCCTAGCCACACCATCATGTGCGGTACCATGGTTTACTTCAGTAAGGAGCCTACAAAAGACGTACGCGCCCAACTATGTACATGAACACGGTCCCTTGATCCGCGATACCGGCCGCGTTATACGAACATTTGCGCAATGCGTACTCTCGAAACCAGCGTGGATTCATGTACGTGTACGTCCTTTTGTCGCTCCTGATTCAGTGGAACCATTCAGCGACGAGGATAAGCGACGAAAACAGGGATACCATACGCATCACACAGCGTAGCACCACCAAAGCATGCAGACCACCTTACTACGCCCAAGCCCCGAGCTACAATACCGAAATCATTCCGACCTACGTCAAGGACAATACTGCAACTCACAACAACGTACCACCAGTCTAAGTCCCAGAAGCAGACCCCGACGCACGCAATCCAACAATAGCACGACTCACTGGAGGACGCGTCCGCTTCGTCCTGCACCTCTACAGTGGCCACCGACGAGAATGGGACCTTCAGGAGTGGATGGGATATTTCGTACCAGACCGACACCCTCTCGATCGACATCGCCAACGACGACAAGGCTGACGATGGGAGACCATGGGAGGGACAGGAAAAATGGCCGCTACCATGGTCGGCTCACCATGCAGCACCTGGAGCGCAACAAGGACCCGCGACATCCCGGATGCGAAATACCAACCACGACCTCTACGGAGCCGGGACCAACCATGGGGACGGAACTGTTAAAAAGGAAAAAGAGAGCAACGATGCCGACATCAACAACACGCTTCTACGTACTACAATTCTCAGGATGCGAGTCGAATTCGCAACTGGATTTCCAGCCTCCTTCCTTTCCCTGTCCGGGAGGTTTACCTCCCCCCCTCCCTGGGTCTAGACGGGCTCCCCCGCGAGGGGTTAGAGCGTCCAAGATGGCCCAAGATAGCTTCAAGAGGGCTTTCGCTAGCCCAAGATGGCCTCCAATATCGCCCAACATACCTCAAGACGGCTCAACATAGCCTCCGACGCGCATCCAAGGAGGCCTCAATACGGCCCCAGGACGGTTTCAAGTGCCCTCCGAGCCCTCCAAGGATCCCCCCAGAAGGCCACAGTCGGTTCAAAACCAAAGGAAAATCAATGGTTGTGTTTTTGTTGTATTGTCTGGTTTGCCTTTTTCGCTTTTTCGCTTCCGATGGGCTCTTGCGTCAGGATGGCCCGGATATGGCCCAACATAGCCCCAAGAGAGGTCCACGAAGGCCCCAATACGGCCCCAAGAGCGCCCAAAAACGCCCCAAGAGCGGCCCAAGATGGCCCCAAGACGCCCCTATTGGGCCTCCGCTGGGGGGGGAAGCGTAATTTTAAGACCGCCCAGGGGTCCAAAACGGCCCCAAGAGGCCTCCCAGACACCCTCAAAAGAGCCCCAAAAGGGCCCCAAGACTCCTCAAACAAAAACCCAGAAAAAAAAGGCCCCCACGAGGACCCCAAGAGGACCCCAAGATGGCGCCAGCATGGCATTACGAGTCTTCGAGCCCCTGCCACGACTTATGCCCCAAACCTGACCTTTCGTCCTCCTTGTCATCGTCCGTTCCTTCCTTGCTTATTTCCTGCCGCCCCCCTGCTCCTCTTCATCCTCCTCGCGCCGCGTTCCTCCTGCTCCTCCTCCTCCTCCTTCCCCTCCTCCATTTATGTTCCTCTTCCTCCTCCGCCTCATCCTAATAACTCAGCCTTTTACCCCCAAGATGGCCCCAGGCATCACCAGCACCAGCAACACCACTTGCTCCAATATGGCTCCATGAGGGCAGCAAATCACCACAATCATCAACACCAGCAGCATCACCACCACCGCCACCACCACCACCACCATCAACAGCAGCCGCATGCGAATTTCAGATAAACTTCGGCGCGGTGACAAAGATCAAGGGTGCATCTGGGGATGCGACTCTCAGCTGTGCGACAAGGGCGACAACATATATAACCATTCACCTGCGCCAGGGACGCTTACCACAGGGAACACCCCGGCGTATCTTGCTGGTTTCCATATTGAACTTTGCAGCGGGAGACGGTGTGTGTGTGTGTGTGTGTGATCATTGTTTCTCATGGCCCAGGGGGGATACAACCACCTGCGCTAGAGGCGTCTACCACGGGGAGCGCCACGTCGTATCCCGTATTTGTTTCCATATGAAACTTCAATGCGGGAACGTATGCGTGATCCTTGATTTTCTGAACACGGCAGCGCAATTGCATGCTCCCAGCCATCTCTGATTTACGACCTCCTCTGCTGATCGTTTCTGGATGTGCTGGTGGGGATCTCTTGTTCGCGAGCGACACGGCGCAGGCGCGCGCCGTCAAAGAGCGAAGCAACAGCGCAACGATCTAAATTCGGCACCAAGCGCGCAAGGGCGAACTACGCTGCGACTCGGTAGGCGAAGAGGACGCTAAGGATCAAGCCCACGTGGAACGCCAATGCCGACAAAGAAAACTAGGAGGTGCACCCACTCCGAGTGCAACGCCAAAATGGCGAGGTAGGTCGAAACCTGGCTCCCGAAGACCACGTCCGCGTAGTCGAGGGGGCGATGACCACCGTCACGTAGTCGATGAGGGCAAACCGTGCAGGCGCTCAACGGAGGACTCCAGATCGCCAGGGGGAGGCCGTGAGACCACGAGCGCGATGGTGGCGGACGTACGTGCAGGGGGAAGCACGACGGCGGGGGCCGCGGCGATGGAACAAGGACAGCGCCAAGCAGAGCACCGACAGCGAGGCGGCGAGACGCCAGGAATATCGCCAAACTCGCGGAGGAGATGCCCAGCGACACTGGCGCCTTCTCTCGCCCAAACCGCCTGCCCGCCGTCCAGGGGATGGTGTTTAGGTGTTATCGAGGAGGGGGGTGGGTCGGGAGTACAACGCACAAGCCGCCACAGATAGCAGAAACCACCCCCAAGCACGGTGCACTTTCCCCACGCAGCCACCACTCCCGTGATGTGGGTACCCTGCTCCTGCCTCGGCAGGGGAGGTTACCAATCATGGGGATGGTGGCTGTTTCGGAGGGTTTCCTATGTGCAGGGGGTGAGGCCTTCCTGCCATCCACCTTGGCGAAAACGGTCGACACCACTCTCTGCGAGAGTCGGAGGCCCCGCCACCGCCTGGAGGGCGCAACCCTCCCTCCCGCTCGGTGGACGCCCCCAGGCGGCCCCAGGGTCATTGTTCTGGGAACCTACGCCTGTTTCAGGCGAGGGATTCCGCCTGTGACCCCAGGGACATCTGTGAGGGGCTGCTATGAGCTGAGGGGGGCCTTTGTGCCCTCCCTGCCGGCGAGAGTGGAGAGGCGCCGCCATCGCCGTTCTTTGTTGCGCCGCCACACCAGTGCCGTCAGTCTCCTACCTCTGGCCACCAGGGCCACTTTCAACCTCACCCACCAAAGCGCAGTCTCCCTCGCCGTGTTTCTACACACGCCTCGTCCCATTTTCAACCCCGCGTCCGCACCTCCATTCGCCTACCTTTCAGCAGCGCCAATCTCTGCTTCTCAACTGCAACCCCTAATTTTGTGGGAGCAACCCTTTAACTTCGTGGCTGCCAACCGCCATGTCAGATGGAGGGAGACCGTATAGAAACCTCAGAGGAGGGGGACCCAGGGCACCCTCCAGAGCGCTGGCCCAGAAAGGCCAGAATGACTCGCAGGAGGGGGGACCGGGCGCAACCACAAAACCACACGGCCCAAGTGCCGAGACCCACCCTTTTGCCGCCCCGCAACCACACTTTTCACGCAGATGCGGGCAGCCTCCCCCCATCCCCCCCCTTCGGGTTATAATTTGTCCTTCCTTTCTTCTCTCCTCCTGTCTGCGGGACCTTGCTCCCCAATCTTCTCGATTTTGTTCTGCTCCCCCAGGGAGG